AATACCTAGAGCGATGTTTCATCGATCAACCTAGTATGACTATGAGCAGTCCATGAGAACCTGTCTCAATGACTATTCACGGAAGACCTTAAAACAGTCATATGGTCGAACTCAAACCCTACTAGGATCGAGTCGCGAAAAGGCTAAGAGCCGTGAATTCATTCGCCCCCTTGACAAGGGGTCACGGAAGGCACGACAATCAGTCGGACAAGGAAACATATGAATTAAAGTGCGGGGCATCTCTCCGGAGATTGGACTGTAGACATGTGCGTCGCACGATGAATCCTACAAGGGGATAGGTCTTGTATGGGTGTAAATACCTTATGTTCCAGTGTGGTAGACTGTGCGCTACTGGCGGTAGTATGTTCGGGGCCGTAAGTGCCATTGTTATTGACTCGGTCTGTGTCGGGTAAGGACCTTTGGTGACCGTACTAAAGGTTCTTATACTGTGAATATCATAGTATCGTTGACATGTGTTGATGAGGGACACGTTCCGTGTTCCCTTATCGTGTTTTCTCTGGATAAGTCATTGGCGACGTCCTTAATGTATTTCCGGTTCTGCTTTGAAACGGAAGTGGTGAATCTTGTAGCCAGCGTGGAGTACTTCCACGCTACTAGATAAATGCTAGACAAATCTTCCACGCGTTCCGTTTTTGGATCGTGGAGAGAGTAGGATTGCTACCGCAACCTACTCTATCACACTCTACAGTCTCCCGCGGGAGTTCAGATCTACGATCCTTTGATTGTGGATCTCTCTCGTTGATTAGTTTTCATAGCTTTCTAATCCTCTCATAACTTTCATTCTCTCAAACTCAAAACACTCGAAAGATCTTTACACTAGCTTTTAGCGTAGTGCACTTGGCATGCATTCTGTGATGCAAATGGTTGTCACTGCTCTGAGAAAACAGGTTACGGCGGCAGTCGGTGTTGGCTGGTCAGGACTCTTTCCATTTTGGTTTTCAAGAAATTGTGCTGTTCAACATCAAAATGGGCCAAATGACTGATTTTCGTAACACTTCGTTCTCAAAATCAGTGCCCGAAACACCAACCGCCAACATTCACCTCGACATGATGCATGATCTCCTTTCCAGCTCCACAACAATCAAATACCAGAGCCGAGCCTGAGGAGAATCACGGAGTGACACATATGCATTGCAGCGCAGCAGCTAAAAATCTTGTACTTGTTGTTAAAACGTCCATTCATAAGCCGGCCGACCCAGTGTAAAGACCCCTCCGGGGGTTAACTACTGCCGTCCGTCTAGTGTTAACCTCGGCCTCCCGGGCGCTACCTTGCCCTTGTATGGAAGAATAGCTGGAATAGCTTGAAAGAAGTCAAACTTTGTGATGAGAGAGGGAGGGCCAGTCAGCTGGTCTTGTGGGCGACTCGACTCGACCGTGATGTCACAATGAGGAACATGCATGTATGTATGTACCGTACCTGGTACCGATACACGTGCAGTACCGGAATGGATGTATCCAAGTCCCCCAAGCTAAAAATGTCGTTTGTCGTATTGAGCTAGACTATTAAAATGACAATACTAATGGGTTTCCACTTTTCTGCTTGGCTTGCATTCTACTGCTTACTCTGCGCTTTCCTCCTCCTGCGACTTCTCGCTCTTCAATTCCTTGGACACTGCATCACGAAACGACTCCAACATCATTCTCAATTGAGCACTCTCACGTTTGCTCGGGCCTGCAAAGGATGAAGACTTGACTTTTCTCTGAGCCACGTAGCACATAGTAAAGAGCATCCTCGTTTGACCTTCTTCGTACTCTTCAAACTCGGCTCTTCCCTGAAGCTGAAGCCCCTTCACACTGCGCCACACCAGCAGTTTGTTGGGTTCTTGCCGTACCGGAACGGTTGACCAGCCAAATTTGATCCCGTAGCTCTCCATCGTCCACCTGGCTTCATTCCTCGACCCGTCCACATACTCGACCTTGGTCAATTGAGGGTTCCATTCTGAGTGTCGGCTAAAGTTCGAAAAGGCAAAGTAGGCGGTACGAGGGCTGAATGGAAGCACAATTGAGGCTTGGCTCACAACCACATTGGACAACTCAAAGTTTGAAGGAGTATCCCGATCTTTGTCCCTCCCTATGGTAGTCGGATTATTGGAGGGGTATCTAGTGGTGGTAATCATCTTCTTCGCCACCCACAACCGCAATCTACTGCCGGCCTACCGGTAGCAAGCAGTTGGTACAGTGGAATTTCTTTTTTGGAGGAGGCAGGGGATTCCTTCAAATGAAGAGAGCAATGGACCAGAGCTGTTCGTGAGCTTGGCATGTGCAAACTAAGGGGTTGCGTTGTGAAAATGAGGGAGTTGCATGGAGAGACGGAGAGATGTTTTGAACGGTATCTTTGGCGGCGGTAGAGGAATCTTTTTTTCACACCTGAAACCGGATGAACAGAGAGGCATAATGAACCTACCGGGTGGGACGGTAGCGTTTTTAATTATTGCTCTCTTCTCACTGGTTGCTTTTCACCATTGAAAGCATTAATAAGATTTGGTTGCTTCGTACTGTTCCGTTTTCCGTACACCGTTCCGGTACTCGTTCACAAGCAACCCGACGATGGTACGGTGCCGCCGCTGTCGGTACAGTGTACATGTACGAACAACACCTAAACCCAAAGACCATGCTGAACCTTTCAGACAGAATCGAATCCGTGGCCTTGCAGGTCACTTACATGTAGTTTACGCAAATACATGTACCGGTAGCAGCAAACATGTTATCAGATTCGTTTTCGATTATGAGTGCGGAAAACTACTAGCTAGAGGCTGCTTCGCCTATTTTGAGCCAAGAAGCAGCCTGGAAGGATGTGCACCAGACGACAACCTCTCTGCGACATCTTCCCAGTCTCTAGGGTCCTCCTCTTCGGTTGCATACTTGATGAAGCCGAATCTCACGTTCACGTCCAGCCAAGGGAAGACATGTCTACACACAAAGGAAAAGATTAGAATCGTCAACTTGACAAATCTGGTTGAGTTTCGTGAAGGAAAAGCCCACCGACAACATCTTACCTGTCTTTGGCACAATCGAAGGATGCATCTTCAATATCCTTGGGTGTACGAACCCACTCTACTTCGTCCGAGAGGGGGCTCCAATGATGCGTGCGCTGTATGGCACCATCTCCAATCGCAATCTTCTTCAGCAAACGACCGTTTCGATTCTGGTGATAGACAGGATAACCCACGGCATCGTACACATGAACCTGGGAATCGTGCAGCGCTGAACCACTTTGTTTCGTCAACAAATGCGAGATCATTTCCAAACATTCCGGAGTTGTATGCTGTGAAAGGCCGGCCACTGTTAGAGTACCATTGATGCTGCTTGATCCATCACGATGACTGTCTAACACATCTTACCTCTTCCATCACACCGCGCAACACACAAGTTGGAACATGTGGAAGCTGTTGCGACTCGCGCCAGAACGCCCGGCAACCTTCTGTCAAGAACGACTGTGCCCCACCAATGACCTTCTGGAATGCAGACGAATCCATCGCTTGGGTCAAAACCTCCAGGACCGTTGATACCAAAGCGCGACTCGAGTATCCCTGCTGATACTTGAAGAATTCTTCGCACATCACGATCAGTTTCTGGACCTTCTTGTCTGAGGCGGGGCCGTGCATCGAACCATTGGCAGCGGAGAACAAAAGCTGACGACAAACAAGTCCGCTCTTCTCATCCGACAAGTACTTCTGCTGCAAAGGAGAGCCTGCCAGAAGCTCGGACTCGGCCAGAAGCGCATTGGCGCACCCCTGAGAGTATCCGATCAAGCTGTGTTTCAAAACGATGAGAAATGAGATTCCGGTGTTCCAAGTTTGTAATAAGTGCGATAGTCGAATCCACACACGTACCCGTACGGTCGACCAAGACGAACTGCGCTCTCAATGGCCTCTTGAATTTTGCTTGCGTTGAATTCGAAACTGCGAGCGGTACCTGTGTCTGCGCGGAAGTGGTGGACTCCTCGTTTTTCTTTCAACCGCTTCAGAGCATCCACCAACTCAAGGCCTTTCTTGCCCTCAGTGATAACGCCCATTGCTGTAACGACAGAAACGTTGTAATTTCCAGGAGGGTTGGGAATCAGCAGACGCACAAGAGGGTCCTTCTTGAGCCTCATCTTGTCCTCTTCTTCGAAAATCATTGTGTCGACGATCGCATCAACAATCTCCTGTTCCTTGTATCGCTTGGGTTCCAAGAAAATCTTCTCTCTGTCAATCTTGTTACCCCAGAAGTCCCTCTCGTAATCCTCCTCATTCATGTTTCGGCGAGCACCTCGTCGTACGGCATGCAACCTTTGTCAGTCACAGTGACACAGTGAAGCAAAGCTTGTGAGATCCCAACTTCTGGGGCAATGGACCTTGTATAACATGTAGCCGCCCAGTCCTTACCAGTATCGGACGTTGTCAACATCCTCGATCACATTGTCAAACATTGACTTAATCATGAGCGCGTCGTAATTTCGCTTGTAGTATTCGCCAAACCAAGATGCATGGAACGCAAGCTTATCCATTGACAACACCTCGGCACAGGCGTCGAATGATTCTTTGTACAACTTGATCGCAGTTTCATACTCTGACTCTCGTTTGGCCCAGTACTCATCTTCTTTGAGACGTCTAGCGGCCTTCTTGCCTACCGCATCGGCTTCTGCTATCTTGTTCTTAGCTGTGTGTGTAGGGGTGTGTGTGTGTGTGGGGGGGGGGATAAGCGTGAGGATGGTGGTTTCGCTGACCGAGACGACAGTTGTTCGATCTTACCTGTCTCGATCAAATCTCTCAATTTGGAGTCTCTTTCGGGGTCTGAGTTCTCTTCGTCCAGCTCTTCACGTGGCTTTGGGAGTGGGTCTGACTCTTTCTGTCGGCGTTCTCTTTGGACGTAAGACTTCAGCGCCATGTAGCATTCGGCGTCCTCTAGAATACTACTCGCAACTGCATAAACAGCCTCGTAGTAGCTCTGTCGGGCCCAACGCCCACCAGCCAAGTAGTCCTCTCGTTTCGGAATCTTCAGACCAGGAAGCCACTCTTCGAGAAGTGCATGCATATCAAGACGGTGGATAGGTCTGAAAGAGTTCTGGTCAAGATCGAGTAGTGCCATCAGTGCTGCCGAACACATTGGAAAAAATGAGTAAGTACGAGATTCCCGCAGGAGCCGAGCACGCATCCTGCCCAAACTTACCTGAGGTCAAAGCTCGCGCCGACCCCTGCCCTCCTGGTGTCCCAATGTCTGCCAACACGGCACTTGCAAAACTACTTGGCTGGCTCGCCATCAAATCCAACAACATGCGCTGGTTCAGTTGCACAACGGTGGAAGATTTCATTGCAGATGTCAGACCACACTGGAGAAGAATCGCCACGTCATGTGGACCTAGCAGTGAGTCTCCTAGCTCATATGGTTCCGCCACTGTGGCGCGCTGGCCCAAGAGGAGGTCTGGCACCTCTGTTGGGTTTTCGTCTGACGAAGCATGATTTCTTGCCGCCATGGCCGCCAGTCGCCCAGCGGGTGTTCCGATGTAAGACTCGTCATTCAGTGCGTCGTTGCCATCATGCAACTTGGCACGTTGCTTTCTGAGTTTCATCAGAGTGGACACTCTTCGAGACTTCCTGGCCTTCGTGCCAAGCGACACGGCTGCCGAACTTCGGTCCTTCCTGGACCGCGACTGTGCCCCCGCTCTCTTCGTCACACGGAGGCTAGAACGGGTTGCTTCACCAAGGAAGACAGAAACCAGAAAACTCTGAGGCAAAAAAGACAACCCACCATAGCTCTCCGCGATCTGAAGGACCTTCCTCTTGATAGAATAGACGTATCGAATGCGCCGCAAGTCCTGTGGTTGCCAGTCTCTGGCGGCTCGCGCTTGGAGGAAATACTCAACCTGTCTGAAGCTCAGGTAAGGTGCAATGCGGCTTACAAAATTCGAAAAGCGTGGGTCGAGGGGCAAATGAGTCTTGTCGTGGATCTGTTCGTAAAGTTGCTTCGCAGAAGGCACGTCGGAGAACCTTGCCAAATGGTGGTTGACCTGGGATAAGGGCGGACATTCTGGTTCGACGTATGGCGGGTTCGCAGCTCCAGGACCCAGAAACATGCTGGCCATTCGCACGGCCCTGTCAAATTCTGGAGCCCATTCATCGTAAGACTCAACGTGTTGTCGAATCAGTTCTTTCACCTTCACAACGTCAAGTCCTTCACCAGCCACTGTTTTTTGTACCAGTGGCAAGATTGCATCAACCTGGCCATCATCGCCAGCCAAAAACAATGACAAAATCCTGGCCATATTGTAAGCAGGGATCGCATGCTTGGGGTCGGACACGCCCTCTTGATCAAAGATTTCTTTGGCTCTCCAAACTTGAGTCAGCGCGTAGCTCATAAGCCTATGGATGTCCTTATTCACAAGCCTAGATACCTCCAGAATTCGGTTCATTGACCTTTTGTCGTGCAGAACATCCATGATCCTTGCCGCAGACTGGGAATCGGGAGAAACCAGTGCATTGAAGAACTTCCAGTCATAGAGTCCGTCCCTGTCATCTCGAGACGTAGCAGCTTTGGTGATGCTGATGCCACCGACAGCAGACACGTTGATAGCAATACGGCCTTGGCGAAGTGGTGGGATCAGAAGTGACGCCTGTTGTCTCTTTTCGGGTGCAGCTTTTTCCGGGACATCTCCAATATCGGTGACCTGGAGAATAGGAGACAGACCTTGGAAGTCCCACCCAATCTCACACTTTGTTTGGCCCTCAGCGGACATGTCAACAACGCTCTCCACGACCTTCACTAAGAGCGATGTTTCAGTGGGGATTATCAGACGCCTGTGCCCTAAGGACGCGGTGGTCTCTTTCAATTTCAGAGACAAGTTGGATCCTGAAAAATCAACCTCGTACGCCTCGAGAGGGTTGAATATGTTTGGTCCAGTCGACGAACAAACAGTTGGCATTTTCTGGGGACGAAGGTGCGCACCAGCACTACCGCTCACGGCGCCTGAGATGAGGCTTCTGAGTTTGGTTCCTTCGAAAATGTCGAGTTCAGGAAATTCTTTGACGTTGCTCTCGTTCCTCATGGTGAAGGAGCCAATGCCAAAATCTGCAACAACCTTGATGCCCTCTTTGACAGGCGCGATCTCCCTGTCGCCACCCGAAAGAGGACTCTTGTCTTTTTCATTCATCCCGCCGAGCACGCGGACCGTCATTCGTCCTCCATCCATTTCGGGTATACATTTTGTTTGACCATCGTCACTGTAGCTCATGCTCTCAGGCGGGATGAAGATATTGTTGATACCAAAGGAGAAGTCAACAGCAGGAAGGTGCAACAGGATGTTCCGTTTGCGCCTGTACTCGCAGGGGTCAAACAATGCTCCGGCCCGTGCCGTAATTGATCCATGGGCGTAAATGGCCTCCAACATGGTGGTGATCATGTGACCTCCCTTGAGCATGGGATGACTTGCACCCACTGACACTGTAATGGCGTCCATCCTTGTATCATCGGAAACATCAAACGCGTAATCGTACTGCAGCAAGCGAAGGTCACGATGAAATTCGGCTGCATCGTCTGGAAACAAAAGGAGTGCTGCAACCGAAGGGGAATCAGCTGGAGAAGTAAGCTCGGGATGGTAGGTAAAGGAATTGGCCCGTCGCTTGAGAGGAATGGCATTGGCCAACGACACGTCCTGGGTGGCGGGATCAGCCTTCCACACTGCAAAACTACCTCGAGTGCCGACCTTACTCTGAAGCGGGATATCCAGCGTTTTGTCGTCATGAAACAGCACTAGTTTGCGAACATGGACAGTCATCTTTTCCTTGCTGACAGTTCCTTTGGCAGAGAAGTCCAACGACCAAGGAACTTGCTCGTTGGCATCATACTGCGTCGCGGCTTGTGTAGTGGTGCTAGCTCTGCGCAAACTTTCGGCGAGAGTCGTCCAAGATGACCCCGAGTCGTTGGAATCCACAGAAGTGTTTCTCTTGTGTTGTTTACCCAAAAAGGTTCCCTTTTGGCTGCCCATGGCAACAGAAGCACCAGCATCAGATCGACTCCGCCCAGCGTGAGGGTCACGTCCATATAAAATCTCCAAGGCCATTCCAACTGTGGGCAGATAATCAAAGCAGGCGTGAGGAGTCTAGCTAGCGCGATATAGCAAAAGGCAACAAGCATTTGCAATTGAAATCTTACCTCCACCCGGCAAGGTCACATCCAAACAAAGTGCTGGAGGAGTGCCCACCACTTTGACGTCGACATTCCAGGACTCGGCTGTATTAAGGACGGCAAGAGCAATCTTCTTTTCGGCAATGTTTTCCCGTTTCAGTTCCGCCGAAGCCAACGGTTGTGCCGACATTAAATGGGAAAGCAAGGCATGAGGTTGAGGAATGATAAAGGTAGGCAACCCAACACTGATGAATGGAATGGGAATGACTCCAAACAATAGTACATGTCCACTGAACGACAATGTCAAGCGCCATTCGGGAGAATTGTCCTGTTCCCTGCCCTTGAACGTGGGTGTAATTTGCACATTGGACAGATGGATCTGACAAAAGCTTTCGACAATCCATAGCATTTTTTCCAACCACGATGAAATGGAAATGACAAAATCCATAAACATGCGCATAATTTGAATGCGTCGCAACACTGGGAGTTTCTTGTCTTGAAAGAGAGTGGGAATGTGAATCAGAGTGGGTGCCACATTGGCCAAGGGCATGGGTGGATCCAAGTTGAGTTCTGCCTTTTTCACCATGGGTTGGGATCGTGAGGTAGTTTCGCGACTGACATCTAGATCTTCTTCCAAGGTGAGATTGTCACTTCCCACCACCGCCACGGCGGAAATGCGACATCCTCCCTTGGGGGGATGCATTTGAAATTGAGGACGACTCTGATCCTTGTCCAAGGGGATTTCATGACGTCCTTCTCTGACACGGACGCTGGCTTCTGCTTGGACGGCATGCAAAAGATCTGCCGTGAGCTGTTGCAAAATAACTTCGGTGTGGGAAGATGACAAGAGAGGAGCAAAGGAATCGGGGAGATCTTGTACAAACATAAGAGGCGATTCGACCGTCGAAGCCTCCGTGGATATCCCGGAACGCGTGGAATGAATGCTATCGTCGACAAGGACTTCATCGATATCATCTTCACTTTCCACAGTTTCCAGGCGGAGACTGTTTGTATTGCTGTTGTGTCGGTTTGGGTGGGATCGTTTGGAAGAGACAGCCGTGGCTTCTCGACTGGGAAGAGATGTTCCAGTGGCAGAGGCTGCCGTGGTACCTGTAACACCGGCAGTGGCAGAAATATCGTCTGGTTTGAACAAAATGGACAATGCGGGACGTCGAGGCAATGTCTTGAGAGGGACAGGAGGAGGACGCGAGAAAATTGCCATTTGCAAAAAGGCCAACACGGTCAAAACTCCACAGAGCAGGAGGAGCCAATAATCCGTGTGTGAGGAAAAGCCCATCAAGGACCAAACTCGTGCTCCGTCCATCGCCACAATCGCTTCCAGCAAATCCTTGGAAAAGGATTCTACTATCATCATGGCGGAAATGGCCCAGTCAGGAAGATTTTCGTCCAAAAAAGTCAAAGAAGATTGTGCTACCGGCATTGTAGCATTCACAACAGACGATTGTAACTGATTGGCGTGTCGGTTGAGATGCGACAAAATAGCATTCCACTTCATTTCCCAAGTGATGGATAGATTCTATTCGATTGATTCCCAGCGTCGCAAACGATCGACGACCTAAGCTAATGACATCGAGGCTTGGACCGCGGGAAGGTACTTTTGTATCGTCTCTGCACCATGATTGGGTGCACCCTCGTTGCGGTTGGGTGTGTCATTCGCTTGGGGGGTGCTCTGGACTGACCCCTAACACGTCACCGATGCTGTCGAAGTCGAGTGAGTCGAGTCGAGTCGAGTCGAGTCGAGTCGAGTCGATTGTGATGCCCATTCGTGGATACAATTTGGTCATCACCTTGGGCTGTGTGTGGTCAACTGCGGTACAGTAGCGGTAGATGAGGTGCACATTTTATTTAGCAGCGGTGCAAGCTTAAAGGAAGATCTTTTGGATGATGGAATTGATGGATTGAAAACTATTATTAGTAATTCTTCAATCAGTCGATTGAATTGCACCGTACTCCCCGCCGTTATCGGCAAACTAGCTAGCTATACAGCATGTCACAAGGACAAATCTCCCAAACCATATAGATATCGGTGATCAGATTTCTCGACTGTGCCATCCTTCCGAAGTGGGACAAATGCATGATCTCCTCCCAGGAATTCCGTTTCATATCTATCCATGCATTGGTCACAAATTTCATGGTCAAAGCATTTCGTGCAGTGGTGACGGATCCCTTCAATTCGAATGCTGCATTTTCCACACATGTAATCCAGACGAAAAGATTCCAAAGTATGCTTTGCCTCCAGCTCTCTTCTACTGCGCGTATAACAGCTCTCGCAGACATTAAAGTCTTTGCATTCCGCGTCTGTACAGCCCAGATTCCCAATGTCGTCTTCACAAAAATCACACCACATAGACTTTTCCTGGTTCCTGTATGTCTTGGCAAGTTCGTTCGAAGGAATGGAGAGCGTTTCGGAAAGTCCCCGACCGACTTCCTCTGGAGGGCTATTCAAGCCCCAACTTCGGTAGCTCTCGTTCTCGGCGTCAACTTCGTCTACCCCCATATACCGATGGAGTGCCTTATCCAGCCATCCAATCATGGTAAAACATCCGTTCCCGGTTGTGTAGACACAGTTTTCTGATCAAAGCCAATCTACTCCCGCGCGGCTTTAGCTGAGACCGTAACAGTTGATTGCGTCGGCTTCGCCTTGCCTCTATGGTTGGGACAATGCCCGCGAATTCCAACACGAGCTGGAGTGGCTTGTCCGTGAGATACTGGGAGGCTTTTGCTTTTTTTTGGACCGTCTTGCTCACCGTCGCTGCTAGCATGAGCAAGGTCTCGTCGAAAGGCAGAGACCTTCCAGGGTGCGCTGCATCAACGTAACGTATTGCTGGGCCAAATGACAGCGTGCGGGAACCAAGGGAGCCGCGGCCGGATCCATGACAAAGAGGGCCACAAAATCTCGAGAGGCCTCGGACGTGGTAGATTGATTAATCATTTTCAAGACCCGATGGACCATCTGATAGTTGCTGAACACCAGCAGTGTTCCTTCTTCTTCAATTGGTACAGAACAATTGGCGTGGCGTGAATTGTCGTTGCCTCGCAGCATCTCTCGAACATTGGTGCTATTGAATTGGTTGATTCCGCCACTCGAGGCAAAGCTGGTTTTTACCATCATTGGCTTGCGATCCAGAAACTCCATATTCCCACCTCGTAGATCCTTGGCCACATGATAGTAAAACAATATCACGGCCGCCACGGGTTCATGTTGTCCATCAATATGCCAGAGGCCAATGTATTCTGAATCCTTTTCATCCGTAGAGGGTGGGAGGAAGATTCTCTGCGCCTTGACGGCAACTTGCAACCGTTGCTGTTCCAACAAGAGTTTGGGACGTTTCAATTTAGAAAGGAGTGGGAGGGCTGCTTGGAGCACTGGAGTTGCCACAGAGTCAATGAGATTGGTATCCATCCAATGTGCTCGATCTCCGCCAACCAGTTTCACTTTTGCTTCCGGCGTCACGTCGAATTCTGAGGGGACCCACTTTCCTTTTCGTTCGCATTGATTGGGATCAATAATCATTTGATATCGAGGAATTGGACGATCTTGTGTGGTCGCCGCAAGTTTGTTGAGTTTGGGTTTGACAGCTGGAATCAAATCTGGGCGTTGCACAGTCCATACATCCGAGTGTATTCCCCCATGTTGTTGTGGTTCTCCATGGGCTGCTTGGTGCGAATCAATGGTGGGGTTGATGCATTGGGGAATCTTTGTAAAATGAAGGTCCTGATCTGGGCTTTCGTAGTATTCCCACGAATTGACATCATCCTTGGTGTAGAGAACTGCACAAAACTGCCGCTTGTCATTGTTGTTGTTGCTGCTATCGCTGCTGTTGTCACATTCTTGCAAGTGAAGTTGCACCAGATGATCCGACGAGCTGCCGGCACTCGCTGTGGTTACAATGGCTGCATTGGCGAAAAAAGCGAATTCCGTGCAGCCGAGAAAGCCACCACGGACTTTGTATTCGCAAGAACTGTCTTGTTTCCAGTCCCAAAGATAGATTCCAGAGGAAAGAGGTCGGGTATCCCCCTCTTTGAGGCGTGGGGAATCTGTGGTCGCAGAAGTCTCTGTTTTCATTTCCGTGCATTGCTGATAGAAGGCATTCCCATACCGCGTTCGACTGTCCTTTTGCGGGGTATTGTCTCCAGGTTCATCCGCAATGCCAAATATTCCGTTGCTTGCAAGAAACTGTTTCCTCTCTTTAACCCTTTGCTTGGCTGTCTGCTTTGTCCTAGCCATCGAATACCATGCAATGGAATACAGAATATTCTACAATACCGAGCTCTATGTTACCGAGCTCTATGTTTACGGGCAAGGAGTGGGACGGGGCCCAAGATCTACCGGTACTAGTCTACTGCTAGCTAGTGGTTAGGGGTAGAGATATCACGAGAGTTGTCACGTGATGTCGCAAATGATGCCTCTGTATAGCTACTTTGCAAGAAGGCAAACTCGATAACCATAAGAGATAGGACAACATTAGTATGAAATATCATGTTCCTTATAGTGTTGACGGGAGCGTGTGCAGACATTGGAACATAAAGGAGTGTTACACATTATTTGTGTGTGCTGTTGATCTGTCTGAGCTTCTGAAGTGTGTTCCTTCTA